ATTCTCCTGTCCACCCTGGACCAGCTCCATGGATTCTTGTCCTTTGATCTCACTCTATCCTTTACAGGTCTTCTTTGATGAAAAGTGCAACCTGACCAGGGAGTCTATTGTCAGTTCTCTTCCTCTGAGGTCTCGATTCACATTCATGGGTACTTCTCTGAGGTTGAGGATAGCCTGAGTGGGAATGACTAGAGATAGGGAGAATATTCTGGAGGCTATGCAGTGATTGGCTTGGAGGCTTTCCTCAGTGGGAGAGAGTCCAGATTATATAATAAAAATGGCGTCCAGGTAAAAACCTGGAGACTGGCTTGGGTGGCCTGGACTTCCAGTTCTGCCTTGTGTTATGGACAGCATGACCACTTCTCACTTCTCTTGAAGCATATCCCCAATTTTAAAATGCAGAATTTGTATGCAATTCTGAGGACCATCATTGATAGGGTTGTGATCCAGGTGCTTAACATCCTTTCAAGGAAGGAGGAGCCTCACCTGGCAGAGGGAGCACCTGGGAGCAGCCACTATATGCAGCTGCCACAGAAAGACTGGGAACCTTTACAGTGGAGGGTGAGAGTGGAAGGTATCTGGGTTTTTCCTGGCCACTGTTTTACTATGGCTGCTTTACCTGATTTTTATAGTTATGATCTGTTGTTTTATAGGAGGGAGAGTTTGGAAGTTGAAAAGGAATTTCTTGGCAAAGTCATGGTCAAGAAATGATGAAGTTTGTTCCAAAATTTGCAGAGTAGGGGGTAGGTCCTGGAGAGGTTTCCAAGATGTGAAAAAGGGATCCAATGGGCTGGGACTGGCCACATTTGGCACTCATTGCTGAGATTAATGAGGATGGAAAAGGAAGGGGGAAGGCACAGTCTAAGAACAAGAAACACTTTGAGTCTGATCGCCTTACTTGATCTTTCTCCCCTATACCAAAGCACCTTCTGTAGAAAAGAGAGAAAGAAAAAAAACTGTGATCATCAGAGGAATGAGCAAATTCAAAATTCCTAGCAACATTTCATCACAGGCTCAACTGTGGCTGGAATTCCAACCAGAGGTTGAAAAAAACTTGTCCATTTCTAAACCTTGTTGATTCTTTTATAACCCAGTGTGGTATTAAATTAGAACTTTGGCTGAGTGAAGGACTACAGGACTCCTACAATATGAGGAGTTTTAGTTCAGAGGATAAAAAAACTGGGGGTCACAGGAAGATGGTGGTATTCTGTGATTTTCAAGCCTTTGTTTAGCTCTCCATGTTTTTCCCCAAGTGAAATCAGAGGGCTAGTCCCAAAATATCACCTGGCAAATGAAGTGGTCCATGGGATCCAGGATCCAACCAGCTATTTAATGCAAAGTGTATATGTGATTACTTTGTGCAAATTTTACTCTAAAAATGCAATGTTTCATCTTAACAGGAAGAGACACTTGGGGGAATATGTGTTTCCTCTTTCTGAAGGCCAAGATTGTATGAGTTTAGGAGTTTTGGTTTCCAGTGGAAGAATGCTTCTACCTTGGCTTCCAGAAAGTCTTACGCTTCTCCTGCCAAAAGACAACCTTCTTGAGGTCCCGAGTCGCGGAACATGCCGAATCATCCTGGGGCAGACAGGCAGGTCTGCGCACGCCCTACCGAGGTCCTGAGTCGTGCCGAACACGCTGAATCAGCCCGCGCCCCGACAACAATCCACTGGACGCCCCCACTCCTCTGTACAGCCACCTGGTTCCACACTACAAAGACGCAGAGGACACTGGACCACCAGAGCACGGTATTGAGTCCCGCTGCTCCCCGACCAGAGGGAGGGGCTTCCTGGCCACCATCCCTCCTGCTGCTCCCAGCCCACAGGAAAGGGCTTTTGGGCCGCCATCCCTACCGCTGCTCCCGGCCCCTGTCCCACCTCACCCAGCTCAGAGGAGGTAATCCGTGCAGGCGCCAACAGCCATCCCCGCCCCCAGTCGAAATGAGGAAACACGTAAATAAGTCTCAAAACCAGACTTCCAGATCACCGACAGCAACCCCAAAGGGAAATGAGATGGAACCCTCTGATACTCAACTACCTGGACCCATTGAACTGGCAACAAAAGGGGATCTGGAAAAAATGAAATCAGAAATAGTTTCTCAGATAACAGGAGAAATTGTGCCCCTAGTGCAAGACATGATTAATAAATCTAGAGAGGAGCTGAGGAACATGATGGAATCCCAACATAGGAAACAAATGAAATCCATAAAACAGATGCAAATAGATTTCCAGGACATGAAAAACTCCATTGAAAGTCTACACAGCAGAATGAGCCAATGTGAGGATAGAATTTCAGATATAGAAGATAAGATTGCAATTAGTGACCAGGAAAAGAAAAATTGCTTCAAAATTATAAGGGAACATGAGAAATCAATCCAGCAGCTGCTAGATGATGCAAAGAAGAATAACATAAGACTGATTGGAGTCAATGAAGAAACAGGAGAGAGTGCAGATGACATAAAAAAATCTCTTCACAGAAATAATGGCAGAAAACTTCCCAAGCAGGGGAAAAGAGCTTGACATACAGATAAGTGAGGCATATAGGACTCCAAATAGCCTTGATCAAAGACAACCTTCTTCTTCCCAACATGCCCCTCTTCCCGCCAAAAGAGTAATCTGATACTCGCTCCCTTCCTGGCAACTAGTGATGTCACAAGTTCCTCCAATCCCTTGGTGACATGCCTTATAGACCCTCCAATCCCTCACTGTCTTACCTCTCAATCCCCACTCAACCTCTATAAAGGTGCTCCAGCCCCTGCCACACTGCTGCACTCTTTGTTAAGAGGCAGCCCAGCAGATTGTTCCTTCTCCTTAATAAAGGCTTCTTGTGGAACTGGTCTGGTCTTGGTTTTCGGCTCTTTTACCTGACAGTAACCAAGGCCCAAAATAACACAGGGAGAGAGATCGTTCTGATAATAAAGCCAAGATTACTTGCCTCACAGATCAATGCCTTTCCTGGTACCACATGCTGTCATTTTTATGGTCATGTTGAAAGGGGAATTTTGCCTCCATAGTTCAAGCAAGACTTACTATGGGAAATTCTTTACTTAAAATTTTCTTTGTTCAAAATGTCTGGGCCTGTCTCATCTCACATGCCTGGACATGCCAGAGACAACTTCCACGTTGCAGAAATGTCTTTGTCTCTAAAGTAGTTTTGCCTTTCTGCCCAGATGCAAATGAGTTTTAGAATTACCCAATGAACCTGCTCCCAGTATTATATGTGAGCCAATGCCATGTTTGATTCTGCCTGTTAATGCATAATGAAATTCTGTAACCAATGAACGTACACCAAGAGTACCTCACTTGTAACACCCCCTCCCGAAGTGTATATCTACTTTGTTCAAGTGTTGGATGGGGCCAGTCTCCCGTGTGTGAATGCAGGCTGGCCCGCTGGGATAAAAAAAGCTTTACTTTGTCTCCAAGGCTCCTGGTGCACCTTCTAGTGGTAACGAGCTTTATTAACAAAACAGAAACCTTGCCGTTTCAATGTGCCAAGGCCACCATGGTCTCAGCAGAGTTTGATGTAAACTGTGTCCCATGGGGCTATGCAATACAGTGATCTGGTAGACATAGCGTAAAACAGCAGTCTACCAGCCTCCCAGGATCAGAAGCCTCAGACTGTACAGGGTAATACCAGAAGGTTTCTAGTCTTGGGGACATACTTGGCTCTGTGTCCAGACATGTGACTGACAGAGAAACTGGTTGATTTGATAAGCCACAAAGGAATCCCAATTGGAGTTGCTTATACAGGAAAAGAAGTCCTGTTCTCTTGATTGGAAGTTCTCAATCTTATAAAGTTAGGGCATAAGGAAGGAGTGTTGGAAGGAAGTTAGCTTTCTGAGTCTAAGAAGCTATACTTCAATGGCAAAGTTTGGGAAGTCTCCATGTCACCAGTCCCATTTCTCCATCCAGACCATTCAACATTTCACCCTGGCTTGGCTCATTCTTCTTGCAATTACCTTTTCCCCTCCCCATGTATCATTGCTCAAATTCCATCTCCTACTGCCTTTTGGTACCTATTGTCATAGTATAATAACTACATATTCTCTCCATTCCCAATCTAGTCCATAACCCCTACTCTTCCTGAAGTTCTTATTGTGGCCCTTGTACTCCTACTGAGTCAAAACTTTCGATGCCTCTTATTACTATCGTGACTATATGCTCCAGTTTTCCTAGAGCACTGTTAGTTTATATCTGGTGTCCAAAAGTAACTATTCATAAGGTTACCTGTTACTCTGAAAAGAATCTTGATTCAGGTGAAAAGAATTATGTGTTCCCCCTAGATTTACTCTTTGCATGGAGCACAAACCCCCATCTGGACTGCCTGGCCTAAACCTTTTTTCCAGATTTCTCCATCCCATTATATATGCTCTAATCCTGATACCTTCAGATAGGCATCCACCCAACTTGATAAGCGTCCTACCCATCCCTTCTAGGCATTTATTCAAGTGATCTCTCTCTTCTACTTGGACTGAACTGCCTTTTAAAGAGCACCCATATGTTTCACTATCAATACTGAGTGTGAGCCCCATCTCGCCTCTGAAGCCTTCACCTAAACCTCTTGTTCATGATAGTGGCCTTACTCTGGTTTCCCAATGTCTGTATTGTTGGAAGACAGACCAGTAAAGATGATTAGTAGAAGAATGCCACAGGTTCTTGCAATAGGTGACCTGAGAGACTTAGGAAAACATGAGGTGGATGAGGGAGGGAATGGTGGGGAGACTCCAGCAGAATATGTGGCTGAAAACTTGGAATCTGGAAAACCACAGATGAGAGCAAGATCTCGGGGCTGGAATATGTTTTCTGGTCTTGTTAGTTTTCCTTTGAATCTCAATGAAAACCAGCCATGCCAAAGAGTCATCTGCCAGGAACTCAGCTCCTCCCATACCAGACCTCTCACCCACTGCCATCTTTACCTCTGTTCCAGCTCAAGGTGAATTCCCCACAAAAATTACAATTGAAGACAATAATAAAATACATATATATTTCATATATTCTGGAAACAGTATTTACTTTCATTCATCATTGTGAGTCACATCTTGGGTTCACAAGAACAATGTCCTCCTAAAATTACAAGACATTTTCATACCGATGATCTTTTCTAGGACCCTTACAGGATTCCAAGGAGGTAGGAGGAGAGTTTCTAAGACACTGGGAGTCACACTTCCTACACTTGGTAGGGGACTGGATGGGGGCTCACAGAGGGCAAGGGATCCTCTCAAAACTTTACATTTAAAAAATGACTGATATGCATAAAGATATATTTAAAGACTCCAATAACTTAAATGCAATTTGTTTTTAAAATCACTAAATAAAACCCATTTCCTTTCGGGAATGATGAGATTATTTCAGAATGCATCTTAGGAAGGGAAAATAAATCAAGCATTTATCAGGCTCTGGTTAGTTTCAAGAAAGGTGATGATGGCTTTGTAGTCTGAGAGATTTGATCCAGGTACTTTATGGAGTTCTGAACCCACTTCTGCTTAGGGTCAGCACATATCTCCTTGTTCAGTTTGGTCTTGAAGCTGTGGAATGAAAGAAATCAATTAGAAAGATTCTCTTTAAAATTTCTGCCTGTTCAACTCTAAAAATTCTTGGAAAAGGGCAAAGGGGCTGTTGTGAGAGAGAAAAGGGGGCAGAGGAAAGATAGGACTGTAAGGTTGGCTGCTGCTCTTGATGGCCCCATAAAGCCATTATTTTTCTTCACTCAAAGAAAGCCTATGAACTTTTTCTGTTGTGCAAATCCATGGGTAGGATTATAGAGGTCAAACTGTCTGAGCCTGTAACTCTAAGTGACTCTGATTCCATTCTAGAAATGAGATTTTGATCCCCAGGAAGGGTGAGCTTTGTTTACTCACATCACAGCTGTCTGGGGACATTTGCTGCTGGTGATTATTCTGTAGCTCTCCAGTCGCTGAATGAGGATCTTCTTATTGGTCACAGCAAAGCAGCAGGTGTTCGGGACAGTACCTGTATTTAGGGGAGAAAATGGTTAGAAAGAGCCACTCATGATATGCAGATATTTCCAAGCATGACTTCATAAGGGAAGAAGGAAGTTAGGAGAAGGTCGGGATCTGCAGGTGATAGAAGTAGAACCTGCCCATCATGAAGTTTCATGCCTCTGCCTTTATTATGGTACCTGCCTATGCAATGGGAATCCTCTAAGAAGGGTACAGAAAAAGCTTGGTCAATGTCATACACTCCCACTCTGTCATTATGAGGGGCTATATGGCTCTGTGATGGTCATGGTAGTGTTCACAAAATACTCTCCCTTCTCTGCTTTTTGGATTCAAGGTAGGCTGGGACTTTTTGACCACTTTTGATTAGTTAGAGCCATTTACTAGTTTTGACCAATAAAGAGAGAAGATGAAATAGCATGCATCATTTCTGAGCTAGTGTGTGTTACCTATGCAGCTCAACAGTAGTGAGTCTAAGGTTCTGAATATGCAGTGCAGAAGCTTGAGTTCATGCATTATAGATAGTGGGTATAAGGAAGAAAATGACCCTTAATTAATTTAATTAATTGTGATAGCCAGTTGATAATTAGGATTATTGCTGTGGCATTCTTTAGCTTATAGGGACTCATACACTCAATAAATATAAGTCATCAGAGGATGGGAAAATGAATTACAGCACAAGCACCCAAATATTCTCCAAGAGTCAAAATGAGTTCCGTGAAGACAATGCCCTGGGACTTTTCCATTCTCCTGATTAGCACAGCATTGAAAGCTGTGCTGGAGTTTGGAAAAATTTTGGGATCTCCAATCAACAGATTTTCCCCCTTCACCATTGGCAAAATTACACACCATGTCATGCCCAACTGTGAGCATAGTTGGTCATGGATGCATTCAGTATCTGCCCCAGCCAGAGAGAGAGAGAGAGAGAGAGAGAGAGAGAGAGAGAGAGAGAGAGAGAGAACCAGCCTCTTGATGCCCAGACCACAGCTCATCCAGTTACAGACCTGTTTTTCAATCTTTCAATGCAAGATTTTCTCTGAATATCCATGCTGACCTGATGTTTCTGGAGGTAAGATAGTTTCCCTTAAGGAAGAAGGGGCTTACCCGGCTGAGCAAGGATCTGGGGGCTGAAAGTGTTAGCTGTGAGCAGCAGGCACAGAAACGCTGTGGAGACCTTCATATCGGAGTGTGCAGATGGGCTTCAGAGTGACAGTAGGTAGTTTCTGGGTTGTTCTCAGCCTGACTGCTACTCTGGATGTTCTGCCTGCCTTTATAGGGAGCAGAGTGGGTGGAAGCTTCCAGGGAAGCCTTTGTCAAAGCAAGGTCATGATCAACTCATGGTGAGGAGGGGATCTTGAACTTCTGCCACATTTTAGCTCTTGGAAAGACAGAAGAGAGGCAAAATCATGGGTGGGACTTGGCATCTGTCTCATCCACCCTGGGATGCAGAGTGTGGGGGGAGGGAACATGTGATTATGAAATGTAATTGAATTTCTGGAGCGGGACAAAGAAGCAAAGAAACAGAGCTTGGGGGAACACGCTGATTGAAGAACCCTTGGTCTTTTGTACATCTGGTGGTTTTCAGGGTTTTGGAGGCCAGGAAGGACCCCTAAAACTTATGCTAGGGTCCTACTCACAGGCAGAGATTGCTCAGCAGCTCTGAACTCTGATAGGTCTCTGTGACTTAGAAAGGATAGCACAGGAGAGCCTTGGCCCTGTAACTTAATCAAGTGATCACAGCATTTTAGCCCCACTGATCTTGAATTCTTGTGCATTTTAAAACTATCTGATTAGCTGCTAAAATCCTTCTGTAAATGTAAACAAAGTAAGCTCCTAGACATTAAATAATACTAGAGTGGAGTGAGTCTGTTTCCAGCAGAATAGGTGCCTCCCACTCCATGCTCTTACATGCCAAGAATTCAAGGGATACATTTGAAAAATCAGCCTTCTAGTTTACCCTCACTTCTAAAGCACATATTAGGGACAAGGTATCTGATGGCTTAAAAACATCAAATACACAAGTGACATATCCTCCTTTGTGTAGGAAAGGGTGCAAAGGGCGGCAACATCTTCAATGTATGTTATGGCCTCAAATGCTACTTTGGAGGCACTTCATAGTTGTTTCTTGGCTTTTACTGCACATGTCTATATCAAATTGATTGATTTATAAGGTTGCATAGACAGGTGGGTTAAGAAGGACTTTGAGGATATGCCTTGAGTCAGTAGAAGACTTTATTGTGTTCTGTCATGAGCACAGAATTAGAGAATGCTCTTGCTGGTTTATAAAGTCTCCCTGCATCTATCTAGAATAACTGGCCTACAAAAATATCTGGTCTTGTCTGTTCTCTGCTGTTCAGTTCCAGGTGAGAAAGTCTAGTAGGGAAACTGGATCCAGGATTCCTGAGTTTGGATGGTGGCTCCAGCACTAACGAGTTTGATGCCATTGATAACATCCTGGTCCTGCTGGTTTAGGATGGGGATGACAATCATACTCACCCTAGGAGACTGTCACGTGAATTAAATGGGTTGATATACACATATCTCAGAAGAGTTATTTAATCTCTGTAAGTGCTAGGCAATTAGAAGTTAATAGTTTTTATTATTAAGAGTGAGACTGATTTTGTGGACCAGGGGATACTAGAAAGAGGCTGAGAGTTTAGGCAGATGATTTCTTCCACTCATATTTCCAAATTTTCCACTGCTGCCAAGTTAAGACAGCTCTTGGCTTCCAGTTATGCCTAAATGGTACATGTGAGGGTTTTAAGCTCCTAGAAATTATGTCAATACAAACAGCTAGGAATGTTCTTGACCTCATAGACACTTGGCTGATGTTGTTCAGTGATTGTGAGCCTTATCAGGAATAATTCTATTGCTTAATTCAGAGTTTACAAAGCCTTATTTACAAATGACTTTTCGTTTTTGTGTTTTTTTCCCTGAGCTTTGGATTTTTATGTGGTCACCAGAAACCTCAGTGGGATTAAATAAAATAAATCTTGAGGTATCCAACTCAGCAGCTGTTCTACCCAGCTGCCTGGCTGTCTCTAGCAAGTAGGGGCAGGGACACTGTCTTTCTTTTCTTCTGTCTTCCTTGGAAATTTCTCCTCTAGCATTTCTCACCACTTGCCTGTGACTTGCTGCCAGATGAATGAGTGGGAAATGGTCAGGAAAAACTCAGAGATGGGTAGGCAGTGGGTCCACCAATGAGAAAACATTGACTTCATTGTTCCCAAGGAATGGTGAATGATTAGCTGGGAAGGATCCCAGAAATCATGGCTACTCACTTTGCTTTGCTTGCACCAGATTTTCTTTGCTATAGTAAAGTTATGGATAGACTTGGAAGACACATAGATGTTATTTTATTCCAATTTTCTCTTTAAAAACAGAATAGAGGGCCGAAGCTTATTGTAACTATGAACTCATGTTTATTACTTGCCAATAGAGAAGGCCAATGACTTAAGGACAAGTTGTCGGGGCCAGAAAAAAATACCGATTTGGAAAGCTAGCAAATCAAAGACAAGGGAGGCTATCATCAACAAAGGCCATCTTGCTTAGGGCTTACTCTAACAAGGCCTCTAGGGAGACTGTGGGGGAAGCACATGAGACAAGCAGACATTCAGAGTAGTTCCAGATCCCAAGATATTCAGAAATTTTGTGTGGTCTGCTTTTCTGATTCACAAGCTGCTGTTATCTCTAGATGACTAGATGTTTTAGTTTCCATAAATCTAAAGAAAAATGACCAATTAACAAAGTCTCTTGACTCAGGTCCCTTTTAGTTCCTTTCCTCAGGAATGTTTCATTATATAAAAGGCTGGTTTTCCTCAGAGGACTGGGGGCAGACAACTTTCACTGGAAAACAGTTTTCATACTTTTAGGTGGCTTTAGTCAGAGATGTCTACAGCAAAGCTAGGGAGACTAATAACGTGTTGCCCAACTGTGTGATTTCCAAATTTAGTAATTTTTAAAAGTCAACTGAGAGCAAGTGATGCTAGAGGGTTTATTTAACTTTTCATCAGTAATAGCTTGAGGATAAATGACAGAAACCTACAGACTACTCTGTGATTTAGTCAGACCTGAGCTTGGAGCCTATGTCTCTCAACTCCTTGTAATATAAAATCTTTCCTGCATTGTAAATCTTGCCTCTGTTTTCCCTTTTGAAAAGCAGGACCAAGTAAGTTCCAACTCCTCTCTTTCACAAGGATCACTGAGACACTATCTGCAGTTTCTCGTCACTTTTGGAGCAAATTTTCCCCAAGTTTTATGTTAGTATAAACATTCTAACAATGTATTTAGCAAATAGCAAGTTTTATGGGTTGGCTTAGTTAATTCTTCCAACCAACCCAGAAAGCAGGTATCATAATTAACTGTTTTATTTTTTTAACATTTATTTTTTATTAGTGCATATTTAGTCACAGGTATTAGGTATCCATTGTAGCATGTGTATAACTTACTTTGATCCTTTTCTTCCCTTCTTCCCCCATTCCTTTCTTTCATCGCTAATAGTTTTCTTTAATTAAGTCTATTTTAATTCATTTTTTGATTTTTTGAGACAGAGTCTTGCTATGTAGTTCAGGCTGGTCTTGAACTCACTATGTAGCCCAGACTGGCCTCGAATTTGTGGTGATCCTTTTGCTTCAGCCTCCTGAGAACAGGATTGCAGGCATGTGCCACCACACCTGGCTTAATTAAATCCATTTTAGAAACTAGAAAACAAAGAAACAGAGAAATTAAGTATCTTCTTTTGTGAAATCCTTTATGAAAGAAGGGCCTGTTTCCCAGAGTTGTCTTGAGGAAAATCTAAGGTTTTTATTTGAAATGCTGACACTGGTAGACTATCTCAGAATGGTTTTGGAGTCATTGGCCTTCCTCTTTTGTACAAAGGTGGAAAACCAAGGCACATAATACTGAAACTATTTCCCTGGGCCCCATGGATCATGTGCATGCTGGCCTACCCTTCGGCAACAGTCCTAGTCAATTCACTGCAACACACTTCCATTTTGGTTTGTATGGCAGCCAGGTATGGGGGAAGCTGCTTGCCCACAGTGCTGTCTTCTAGAGAGTGATGCAGAGACAGGCTGCATGGACTCTACAGTGATCCCTTGGACAATGGCCTCCAAGTTCACTGGGGCACAGAGATGTTTTAAAGAAATAGGCAAGGATGCAGCTTGCATTACCTCTGCCTGCCATTAACCTTAACTCCTCATATGCCTCAAATGTGACTGCCAGTGGGACAGAAATGAAGAGAAGCATGCCAGTATTTTCTGAAGGCTAATGGTTTGTCACAGTCTGTCCTTTGCTTGCATCTATGTAGAAAACACAATTAGTCCATCCCCAAGAGAGACAACTCAAAGTTCTATTTAGCCATTACATTATCCTAAATGTAGAGGATCTCTCCATGAAATAGTACATTATCCTATATGTACAGATCCTCTTGTTCCATGAAGCTGTGGATCCATCTTGTTCAGTGACCAGGGCACTAAAAGAACACATTATAGAAACATATATAAAGTTTTAAAAAGAGAGCATATTGTAATCAGTGCCCTCACGTATGGAAGGGAGGGTGGTAAACACCAATATCCAATGCCTTGTAGCAATCCTACAACCCTTCAGGCAGATGTAAGTCTTCCTTCCTTGATTCAGCTTGGTTCTGCTCACCCATCTATCCCTTTGATCCTGGCTCCTGGTTCCCCTGAAAAGGTCCCTCATTTTCCATTTTTCCCATTGGCCACCTTTGAAGTACATGTTGAGGAAAGACTTGCTCTTCTGGAGGGCCTATAGCCTTTGTGGGCAGCTTGCTGTAATGTAAGGCTTGGAATTTGTTTGCATTCTGAATTGTCAGTGGCTCTACAGTGGCTCTATCTATCTAATAATCTATCTATTCAGGCTCACTCATGATACCTTTATCATTCACCTTTGGTAACTTTAAGAGGCTTCTCAACTCTTTGCACTCAATCAATTCTGTATGCCACTGTTTGAATTTCTTGATATACTTCTCAAATTATTTTTATGGCCTCCCCATTAATGAGAAAACTTTAACTGGCAAGGCTACACATTGGCAAGGCTTCATTCTGATTGTAGACCTATGTCACTTCATCTGGCCAAGCGGTCCTAGAATTTTATTTCTGAATTTTTAAATTCTTAGTATCTTCTCTTAATGTTTAGAACCTAGAAACAGATTACTTTTCCAAAAGTTCAAGTTTTTAAATTTTTAAACTTTATTCTCTTACATTTTTATTTTGGGAACAGCCGATTCTTTCCTGACCTATCCTCCTTACAGTAATACCTAGAAAAACGTGAACCAAAAACAATCAACACACTAC